GAGTATGTATAAAATGGTGTTTGTATATAGCATGTATAAAATGGTGTCTGTATATAGAATGTATAAAATGGTATCTGTATATAGCATGAATAAAATGGTGTCTGTATATAGTAATAGTATGTATAAAATGGTGTCTATATCAAGGGTCCGGAAACGGTCATATTTGCCAGTCATGTCCTAAGATGAAACTATTTGTCTTAAACGAGTAATTGGGATTTAGGACAAATTTTATTTCTTTACAGAAGTAATTTCGGTCATTTCATTGACTCAATGTTTGAAATCGGATTTCTTAATCACCATTTTGCACTTGTGATCACTTGTTTTTGTTTATAATCCCTTTCCTGTAATTAAACTGCCACTACAGTAGTTTGATAATCCTGAGGGCCCTCCTAATATCTATATTAATGCCTCCGGGAAACATTGGCTAATGATCGCTAATCACTTTTTACCTGTGGATTTAATTCACACCTGACAGTGATCACAAGCTCAGAATAATATCTTTAAAACATCAAAGTTCCCTGACAAGTGTATTCATTATTTATTTACTTTTCATCAAAGACAGTTATCAATTCTGATTTAAAAATTAAATCTAAATCCAAAAGTATTTTTTCATGAGTAACACATGTGCTTTATTTACTATGTAATACGCATGCATGAAATTGTCTTCAGCAAATTTAATATTTATTCGTAAAATTCAAATTGATTTCATGCTAAATTAAACGAGTGCAACTATTATCTGTTATATTCAAACACTTTTAAAGGTAATAAAATAAAAAAAGCCATAAAAAGCCGGTGATTTCCTGTCAATTTGATAAACAAAACAAATCCCGGAAATGAATCCGGAATTATTCGTACTTTAAAATATCGCAAACTTCCGGTTTTAACTTTTGTAAAACGAAATCGAAAGAAACGTATGCAATGTCTGAGAAATTAACCATTTTGAGTCATTAAAATCATTTCAATTTTAGACTGTTGCCTTCCCTAAATTGTCCTTCATGGTAATGGTAAGACATTTACTTAGTAAATGCGATGAAACAGCAATACATGTTCGTCATGTTCGGTGATGCTATGAATATAGTTAAGTTGATATCGACAATTTGAAAAGGGGCACCAACTTTTCAAACATCTCAAAATGACCGAAATTGTCAGGAAAATTTCCGGATCCTTGGTCTATATATATATACATTGTAGCATGTATAAAATGGTGTCTGTATATAGCATATATAAAATGATGTCTGTATATAGCATGTACAAAGTTGTGTCTGTATATAGCATAAATAAAATGGTGTCTGTATATAGCATGTATAAAATGGTGTCTGTATATAGCATGTATAAAATGATGTCTGTATATAGCATGTATAAAATGGTGTCTGAATATATATATAGCATGTATAAAATGGTGCCTGTATATAGCATGTATAAAATAGTGTCTGTATATATATAGCATGTATAAAATGGTGTCTGTATATATATAGAGTATGTATAAAATGGTGTCTGTATATAGCATGTATAAAATGGTGTCTGTATATAGAATGTATAAAATGGTATCTGTATATAGCATGAATAAAATTGTGTCTGTATATATAGTAATAGTATGTATAAAATGGTGTCTATATATATATACATTGTAGCATGTATAAAATGGTGTCTGTATATAGCATATATAAAATGATGTCTGTATATAGCATGTACAAAGTTGTGTCTGTATATAGCATGAATAAAATGGTGTCTGTATATAGCATGTATAAAATGGTGTCTGTATATAGCATGTATAAAATGGTGTCTGTATATAGCATGTATAAAATGATGTCTGTATATAGCATGTATAAAATGGTGTCTGAATATATATATAGCATGTATAAAATGGTGCCTGTATATAGCATGTATAAAATAGTGTCTGTATATAGCATGTATAAAATGGTGTCTGAATATATATAGAGTATGTATAAAATGGTGTTTGTATATAGCATGTTTAAAATGGTGTCTGTATATAGAATGTATAAAATGGTATCTGTATATAGCATGAATAAAATGGTGTCTGTATATAGTAATAGTATGTATAAAATGGTGTCTATATATATATACATTGTAGCATGTATAAAATGGTGTCTGTATATAGCATATATAAAATGATGTCTGTATATAGCATGTACAAAGTTGTGTCTGTATATAGCATGAATAAAATGGTGTCTGTATATAGCATGTATAAAATGGTGTCTGTATATAGCATGTATAAAATGGTGTCTGTATATAGCATGTATAAAATGATGTCTGTATATAGCATGTATAAAATGGTGTCTGAATATATATATAGCATGTATAAAATGGTGCCTGTATATAGCATGTATAAAATAGTGTCTGTATATATATATATAGCATGTATAAAATGGTGTCTGTATATATATAGAGTATGTATAAAATGGTGTCTGTATATAGCATGTATAAAATGGTGTCTGTATATATATAGAGTATGTATAAAATGGTGTCTGTATATAGCATGTATAAAATGGTGTCTTTATATAGCATGTATAAAATGGTGTCTGTATATACCAGTCTGTTAAGTATAAATTGGCTAAGAATTAGAAAATACTTAATACAGACTTTCTCAGACTCGCCTTGCTTGCAAAATATAAATTTATAACAAATAATAGAAACAGAAAAACCCACTGAACCTAAAATATGATTAATTGAATAATTTGTAATACAGACTTTTCACACACCAAGTCTTCCTTGTAAAATATATGACATACAATGTATACACATGTACATGTAATGTACATTTTTGAGACTTTTCCAATTACCCTCCCAACAAATAAACTCAGTTAAAACACTCATACTGATGGCATCAAATGTGGTCAGTTGTGAATGTGTGTGTGGTTTTTTCTTGGTATTTTTGGGGTAGAAATTACTCTTTTGACTCACATAAGTGATATATCTGGAAAACATAATCCATGAAATACAAATGTAAACGGTTTTATCTGGAAAGTGATTGCAGACTTAAATGAGAACACATACAGGTAACAGGTTATATGTAGAAAAAAAGGGGGTCCATTGCACGTGGAATAATCCTTTGACCATGCTAGGGACCTTGACGACAGACTGCGCTTGGGACATTCATGTCCAAAATGTCCCTCATCAGACAATAACAAAGAAAGTTATCCAAAACAAACTAAATAAAATAAAATTGAGAATGGAAATGGGGAATGTGTCAAAGAGACAACAACCCGACCATAGAACAGACAACAGCAGAAGGTCACCAACAGGTCTTCAATGCAGCGAGAAATTCCCGCACCCGGAGGCGTCCTTCAGCTGGCCCCTTAACAAATATATATACTAGTTCAGTGATAATGAACGCCATACTAAACTCCAAATTGTACACAAGAAACTAAAATTAAAAATAATACAAGACTGACAAAGGCTAGAGGCTCCTGACTTGGGACAGGCGCAAAAATGCGGCGGGGTTAAACATGTTTATGAGATCTCAACCCTCCCCCTATACCTCTAGCCAATGTAGAAAAGTAAACGCATAACAATACGCACATTAAAATTCAGTTCAAGAGAAGTCCGAGTCTGATGTCAGAAGATGTAACCAAAGAAAATAAACAAAATGACAATAATACATAAATAACAACAGACTACTAGCAGTTAACTGACATGCCAGCTCCAGACTTCAATTAAACTGATTGAAAGATTATGTCTTCATCATATGAATATCAGGCACAATCCTTCCCGTTAGGGGTTTAGTATACTTTAACTATATGAACACTGTCACTTATAATAATACATATTTCAGTATCCTTTCAACTCAAATGAATAATGGTAAAACGACATAATGGCAGAAATGTGAATTTTTTACACAACTTAAAAGATAAATACAGCATACAAATCAAAGTTCATCCTAAAAATATTGCAGCCAAAGTATTTAACTCCTTTTCATCAAAGGAGCTAGTAAGTTAGTATGAGTGGGGTGAAATTGTAGAAAACAGACACAAGTTAATCCCTTTCGGGATTCTGTGTTCTCAGAGCATGGCCAAATCAGAAAATCGCTCTGGACACCAAATCCCAAAGGTGTTCTGGGCAAGTTGTCTGCTCTATGGTCGGGTTGTTGTCTCTTTGACACATTCCCCATTTCCATTCTCAATTTTAGATGAGTTGGCACTAATTCAAATGTTTTAGATATAAAGTTGAATTAAGAGTTAGGAATACACCATTATTGGTATTTGTCCGCCATTACGGGACATCACAAAGGTTCCTGTAAAATTTTGACGTCATAATAGAAAACATCTGACGCCACAATGGAAAAGTGATTGTTGTATGACGTCAATAGTTCAAGAGGCGCAGATTTCCAAATAGCGATAAGGTCTATGCCCGTCAAGCATCAAACGTCCATTTTTCACTACCGTTAGCTTCAAATGAGTATTAATTTTTTATCATCATTCATCAAATCTCATTTTGTAGCTTACGTAAGCATCAAATGGATTAAAATGTTTATCGTTCACGTTATTTGGACAAATTTTTTATCATCATTCGTCATGTCGGTTACCCCTTTCCTACCCTCATTTAACATGTTTAATAGTTTTAACTAAATTTAAGCTGAATTATATATAATTAGTTACAAATGAAATGACCTGCACTATTCTGCTATTGGTACATTAATCGGGTTCAAACTAAAACTGGTGTAAAACACAGAACAAGTTTAATAAATCTTACCTAAGGTTGTTAACACATCGTAAGGAACAAGTTAAATAAATCCTACCCAAGGTTGTTAACACATCGTGAAATTGGAACAAGTTAAATAAATCTTACCTAAGGTTGTTAACACATCGTAAGGAACAAGTTAAATAAATCTTACCTAAGGTTGTTAGCACATCGTAAAACAAGGAACAAGTCAAATCAATCTTACCTAAGGTTGTTAACACATCGTAAGGAACAAGTTAAATAAATCTTACCTAAGGTTGTTAGCACATCGTAAAACAAGGAACAAGTCAAATAAATCTTACCTAAGGTTGTTAACACATCGTAATCCTTGCATTTCTGTTCTTGTGGCTCTTTCGATGCAGTAGAACGTTTTACTTTGGCAACTTTTGCAGACGCCATAACTCAAGAATTCGTCCCTTACTCTAAGAACAGTTGAAAAAAATTTCAGATCCTAACTATAATCCATTTTCAAACAATATAGGTCTACTGTCCCATAGAGATATTTAAACCAGGACAGGATTCCGAGTAATTTTCATTAATATTTTCCATCTAAAATTAGTGTAATTAATCATAAACCACGATCACCACTCATATCACTGTTGCCTCTTCTGTTTCCAATTAAAACATTAGAGTTGTCTATCCTTTAATGCCGATCTGTGTTATAGTCCGTTTCATTTTTATAAGGGAGCAATCATTTATTTTTCGTGTTTTTTTTTCAAGCATTCATTATGTTTGATTGATAGTAATTATCAATCAAATTCTTTCGGAAAATGTGAATGATAACATTTTTTTCTGTGACGTCATGAGTGAGATTTTTCTGATTTCTCCCAGCAGAGACATATAATATACTATATTTGTCTCTCGTCCCAGCTAGAAGAAATTTGACTAATTTCAGCATTTTTTAGCTAAGTTTATAGAGCAAAAGCATCACCTTTAATTGTTTCGAATGCGAAGAGATAAACACAAATAACAATTACTATGAAAGTCACCCATAAATAATTTTAGTTGCGCTGATGAAATGTGTATATTAATAAGCTGTGATAATAAGCCCATCAGTTGCCTTGGTTGAGAATACTCTTTATTCATTTGCGAAGAATTTGCTTATGAAAATGATATGATATTCATGTCAACAGAGACATATAATACAATATAGAGTGGGGAGCACATATTCGCCGGGGACAAAATTTCGCCGTTTTATGATTTTGAGGTGTAGAAACTTCAAAGGATTGCTGAAATGGAAAAAATATGCCGGTAAATTATATTTTTATAACAAATATGATTATTTTTAAACTTTCGGCACTTACCGCAAAGAACCGAAAAACGGACAACGATTTTCGGCCAATTTCCTGAATGAAAAAAAAAAAGATTTCAAAGAAGTATTTCTTAGCAATTCTTTGACTGATTGCCCTAAATTTCAGTTCTTTACACGTTTGAAATGTCTGCTATTCATCTACTATGAAATTGATTTGATAAATATTGTTTAAAGCTGCAGTTATTTGGTTTTAAATAGGTGTGTAAAAACGGCGAATATGTGTACCCCTATGACAAAACATCAGGAAATTTCAAATAGCCTTTAATCTAACTTTTCAGATGAATTTTTCAGAGAAACACGTTTTTAAGCTAAGAATATTTTGCTTTTGATGTTATCTTCATATAGAAATATCGGTATACTTCAAAAACTTAAAGGTCTGAACATAAACTGCAGAAAACATGGAAAATAATGGCACAAATGTATTATGTGTCTCTGATGACAAGAAATATATTCGTATGATTTTAAAAACAAGCCGATGATATTAATATTTACAATGTGCCCAAATTTTATTTATGTGGCAAGTTATTAGAATTTGCTGAAGAATTTAAATAACGTTGACATATGGTTTGCCGGTAATGATTTGAATGGTGATTGTCACGTGACATAAAGAGACGTATTTCAGTGGCGGATCCAGAGGGGGGCGTAGAGGGCGTACGCCCCCCCTTTGCTTGCACTTTTTTTTTTTTTTTTTTTTTTAAATGATTAATCAGACTAGACTTCGTGAACTTTGCCATTTCCCGTGTATTTAATTTTTATGCGACAATTCTTTACTTATAAAGATATTTTTCGCTCGTATTTAGTGTAATATATTATTGATTATGTCAAAGTCATGTGATTCTCTACGGTGGAGCTGACCAGTTCGTCGAAAAAAACTTCACTCAGTCATTTTGAAATTCAAATCACAGTAACACATTGCTTAGGCTGAGGATGACAAGCACGACGCCTTCAAAGCGACAAAGTATTGAGCAAGAACGTATTGAATTCTATTTCACAATTCCACCCAACAGAAAGTAATACTCTATTACACTCTCATGAAAAAAAAAGTTCCACAGCAATATTATTTACCTACGAAAACATGTTTAACCCCACACGCCCAAGCCATTTAATAACATTGCTGAATAGTGATCCCCAGTCAGTAAGCTATAGATATAGATTTAAAGTCTAAGGTACGGACCATTTGATCTGAGGGGGCAGTCTGAGATTTTTAAGAGAAAAAATTCTGACCCTGATTTTTGCCTTTAACAAAAATTCTGGCCGTATCTGGATTGAAAACAATAATCTTGTCCACTTTTTTGCTATTAGAAAAAAATATTTTCAACAGAATTATTTAGCATTAAATGAACATGATGAATAAAAAACGGGCGTAATTTTTTTTTTTGGGGGGTTGCATGTGAATCCCATATCTGACCGGAATGTCTGTTTCGCCGAACTGATATACTGAATACTTTTGCAAGGCCCGACTGCAACCTGCCTGCTGGGTGTGGCCTATATGTCTCCATGTGTCGACCGTCATTCACAACTTCATTGTCATTTCCGACTAATTCGTAGCCTTTGGTTGATTTGGAACCCCTCACTTCCCTTGTTGGGTAAAACATTTCAACCAAACATTTGGATGAAAATTGCTTGTTTGTCTTTCTTCGTGTCGGTCGTATTGTAAATTTCATTGAAAAGCCGTATATCTTGTTTACAACAAGAAATCTGTGAGGTTATGCTAACTAACCATACAACAAACGATAATTTTCCATGTCCATTTTTTACTGACAAATTCCACATCAAATATATTAATTAGTACATAGCTTTGGATCCATCCAATCATTTCATAATAGACAATTGGTGGAGAGAATACGGCACCAAAAATGTCCAACCCCCTACACTTTAACTATAAAATGCATTTTACACTTATTTTATGTTTTTTAGCCAAAAAAAGGTCCAAAAAATTTTTTCGCCTCGCTCCGCTCGGCGAACTTTATTACTACGCCCCCCCTTTCCAAAATCCTGGATCCGCCCCTGAATACCAAAGTATAGACAGGAAAGTTAATATGCTGAAGTGAACATTTACAAATGTTCTACGGGTGTTACGATTCTATTTTTAGTTTTTATTGTATGAATGTATATTGTGTATCTTTTTTATGGTCTAAATGGAAGTCTGCCTTTTCAAATGCACAAAAATGATCTCAGAATAACAATGGGATGTCAATATAGATGTAGTGCAAGTACTATGTTTGTTGTAAATTAAGTTATGCCCTTTAACTGTTTAAAGAAGTTATGTGAAAGTCAATGTTTCAAGTTGTCAGTAAATCGATTAAAAATATCGGAAAATCATTTGATTAATACAATTCTCAATAGTAATTTATTGTATACTCAACATTGTTAAGAGTATACAGTGTATACAATGAGGTATATCAACATGGTTAAGAGTATGCATTGTATACAATGATGTATATCAACATGGTTAAGAGTATACATTGTATACAATGAGGTATATCAACATGGTTAAGAGTACACATTGTATACAATGAGGTATATCAACATGGTTAAGAGTATACATTGTATACAATGAGGTATATCAACATGGTTAAGAGTATGCATGGTATACAATGAGGTATATCAACATGGTTAAGAGTACACATTGTATACAATGAGGTATATCAACATGGTTAAGAGTATGCATGGTATACAATGAGGTATATCAACATGGTTAAGAGTACACATTGTATACAATGAGGTATATCAACATGGTTAAGAGTATGCATTGAATACAATGAGGTATATCAACATGGTTAAAAGTATGCATGGTATACAATGAGGTATATCAATATGGTTAAGAGTACACATTGTATACAATGAGGTATATCAACATGGTTAAAAGTATGCATGGTATACAATGAGGTATATCAATATGGTTAAGAGTACACATTGTATACAATGAGGTATATCAACATGGTTAAGAGTATGCATGGTATACAATGAGGTATATCAACATGGTTAAGAGTACACATTGTATACAATGAGGTATATCAACATGGTTAAGAGTATGCATTGTATACAATGAGGTATATCAACATGGTTAAAAGTATGCATGGTATACAATGAGGTATATCAATATGGTTAAGAGTACACATTGTATACAATGAGGTATATCAACATGGTTAAAAGTATGCATGGTATACAATGAGGTATATCAATATGGTTAAGAGTACACATTGTATACAATGAGGTATATCAACATGGTTAAGAGTATGCATGGTATACAATGAGGTATATCAACATGGTTAAGAGTATGCATGGTAAACAATGAGGTATGTCAACATGGTTAAGAGTACGCATGGTATACAATGAGGTATGTCAACATGGTTAAGAGTATACATTGTATACAATGAGGTATATCAACATGGTTAAGGGTACACATTGTATACAATGATGTATATCAACATGGTTAAGAGTACACATTCTATACAATGAAGTATATCAACATGGTTAAGAGTATACATTGTATACAATGAGGTATGTCAACATGGTTAAGAGTATACATGGTATACAATGAGGTATATCAACATGGTTAAGAGTATGCATGGTATACAATGAGGTATATCAACATGGTTAAGAGTACACATTGTATACAATGAGGTATATCAACATGGTTAAGAGTACGCATTGTATACAATGAGGTATATCAACATGGTTAAGAGTATGCATGGTATACAATGAGGTATATCAACATGGTTAAGAGTATGCATGGTATACAATGAGGTATATCAACATGGTTAAGAGTACACATTGTATACAATGAGGTATATCAACATGGTTAAGAGTACGCATTGTATACAATGAGGTATATCAACATGGTTAAGAGTATGCATGGTATACAATGAGGTATATCAACATGGTTAAGAGTACACATTGTATACAATGAGGTATATCAACATGGTTAAGAGTATACATTGTATACAATGAGGTATATCAACATGGTTAAGAGTATGCATGGTATACAATGAGGTATATCAACATGGTTAAGAGTACGCATTGTATACAATGAGGTATATCAACATGGTTAAGAGTATACATGGTATACAATGAGGTATATCAACATGGTTAAGAGTATACAATGAGGTTTATCAACATGGTTAAGAGTATACATGGTATACAATGAGGTATATCAACATGGTTAAGAGTATACAATGCGGTATATCAACATGGTTAAGAGTATACAATGAGGTATATCAACATGGTTCATTAATGTCCTTCAGATATATGTCTATCTATTCATATAGATTGATCTTTTCCACAGTTTTCAGTCTGTCCATATGTAGCTGGAAAATCAGATTTCTGGTTTTATTCTCAATATTGTCCACTAATTTTCTAGAGCTGTTGGACACTTCTTTATACTTTGTACAGTCTATTATTAGCTGTGAAATAACTGTCTTGTCTTTAAAAAACATTATTCAAATTTTCTCTAGTAATCTCACCAATAATGACTTCTCTTATTTCTGTGAACTACTTCTCTCTTGTTGTACTCAAAACTTGACAAGTTGTTAGAAAATGTATTACGTCCTCATTATCAGTGCAACAAAGTTGACTTGTTGCTTCAACTGTAAAATGCGTGAATTTGTGTTTATATGATTATAGTGTATATGTCCCAGTCATTACTCTGGTTTGACCTTTCAATTGTTTTACAAACAATTGAAATACTAGTTATTATTGCGTTTCGTAGTTCGAATTGTGGAAGACAGGGTGTGGTTTGTTTGCTGTTTGTATTTAGGAACGTTAAGCTTGATTTGTTTACTTCTACATTGTTTGTATTCAGGAACGTTAAGCTTGTCTTGTTTACTTCTAAATTGTTTGTATTCAGGAACGTTAAGCTTGACTTGTTTACTTCTAAATTGTTTGTATTCAGGAACGTTAAGCTTGATCTGTTTACTTTTAAATTGTTTGTATTCAGGAACGTTAAGCTTGATTTGTTTACTTTTAAATTGTTTGTATTTAAGAACGTTAAGCTTGATTTGTTTGCTTCTAAATTGTTTGTATTCAGGAACGTTAAGCTTGATTTGTTTGCTTCTAAATTGTTTGTATTCAGGAACGTTAAGCTTGATTTGTTTACTTCTAAATTGTTTGTATTCCGGAACGTTAAGCTTGATTTGTTTACTTCTTAATTGTTTGTATTCAGGAACGTTAAGCTTGATTTGTTGGCCTCTAAATTATTTGTATTCAGGAACGTTAAGCTTGATTTGTTTGCTTCTAAATTGTTTGTATTCAGGAACGTTAAGCTTGATTTGTTTGCTTTTAAATTGTTTGTATTTAAGAACGTTAAGCCTGATTTGTTTACTTCTAAATTGTTTGTATTCAGGAACTTTAAGCTTGATTTGTTTACTTCTAAATTGTTTGAATTTAAGAACGTTAGCCTAAATTATTTGTATTTAAGAACGTTAAGCTTGATTTGTTTACTTCTAAATTGTTTGAATTTAAGAACGTTAAGCTAAATTGTTTGTATTTAAGAACGTTAAGCTTGATTTGTTTACTTCTAAAATGTTTGTATTTAAGAACGTTAAGCTAAATTGTTTGTATTTAAGAACGTTTAGCTAAATTGTTTGTATTTAAGAACGTTAAGCTTGATTTGTTTGCTTCTAAATTGTTTGTATTCAGGAACGTTAAGCTTGATTTGTTTGCTTCTAAATTGTTTGTATTTAAGAACGTTAAGCTTTATTTGTTTGCTTCTAAATTGTTTGTATTCAAGAACGTTTAGCTTGATTTGTTTACTTCTAAATTGTTTGTATTCAGGAACGTTAAGCTTGATTTGTTTACTTCTTAATTGTTTGTTTTCAAGAACGTTAAGCTTGAGTTGTTTACTTTAAAATTGTTTGTATTTAAGAACGTTAAGCTTGATTTGTTTACTTCTAAATTGTTTGTATTCAGGAACGTTAAGCTTGATTTGTTTACTTCTAAAATGTTTGTATTTAAGAACGTTAAGCTAAATTGTTTGTATTTAAGAACGTTTAGCTAAATTGTTTGTATTTAAGAACGTGGAGCTTGATTTGTTTGCTTCTAAATTGTTTGTATTCAGGAACGTTAAGTTTGATTTGTTTGCTTCTAAATTGTTTGTATTTAAAAACGTTATGCTTGATTTGTTTGTCTTTTAAATTGTTTGTATTCAGGAACGTTAAGCTTGATTTGTTTACTTCTAAATTGTTTGTATTTAAGAACGTTAAGCTTGGTTTGTTTACTTTTTAATTGTTTGTATAAAAGAACGTTAAGCTTGATTTGTTTGCTTCTAAATTGTTTGTATTCAGGAACGTTAAGCTTGATTTGTTTACTTCTAAATTGTTTGTATTCAGGAACGTTAAGCTTGATTTGTTTACTTCTAAATTGCTTGTATTCAGGAACGTTAAGCTTGATTTGTTTGCTTCTAAATTGTTTGTATTCAGGAACGTTAACTTGATTTGTTTACTTCTAAATTGTTTGTATTTAAGAACGTTAAGCTTGATTTGTTTACTTC